CCGTTTCTACCGCTTGCAGAGTTTGCTTATAACAACAACTACCAGTCGAGTATTCAGATGGCTCTATATGAAACTTTGTATAGGAGGCGATGTAGATCTTTAGTTGGTTGGTTCGAGCTGGGTGAGGCTAGGCTATTGGGGATAGACTTGGTGCGGATGCCTTGAAAAAGGTAAAGGTAATTCAGGAGAGACTTCGTACAGCACAATCGAGACAAAAGAGTTATGCTGACATGAAGGTTCGAGATGTGTCCTACATGGTTGGCAATAATCTTCTGTTGAAGGTTTCGCCCATGAAGGGTGTTATGAGATTTGGGAAGAAAGGTAAATTGAGCCCTTGGTTCATTGGGCCTTTTGAGGTGCTTTGGAGGATTGTGGAGGTGCCTTATGAGCTTGTTTTGCCACCCAGCTTGTCGAGTGTGCATCTGGTATTTCATGTTTCTATGCTCCAGAAGTATATTGGGGATCTGTCTCATGTTCTGGATTTCAGCACGGTTCAGTTAGATGGTGATTTGACTTATGATGTAAAGCCAACAACTATTTTGGAGCGTCAGGTTCGAAAGCTGAGATCAAAGGATATAGCTTCAGTGAAAGTGCAGTGGAAAGATTGGCCCGTGGAGGAGTATACCTGGGAGACCGAGTGGGATATGCAGAGCAGATATCCTCACCTGTTTGAGGCTCCAGGTATATTTCTTGACTCGTTCGAGGACGAACGTTTGTTTAAGAGGAGGAGGATGTGATGACCTGGCCAGTCGTCTCATGAGTTAATGCTCTGTTTTTTCAATTTCTACTTCTTATTGCTTTTTCTATCAGTTCTATATATGATCGGGTTGGTTGGCTCGGGTTCGGAAAGGATTTGGTATAGTTTGAGACACTTATTCTCTTTTGAGGAAGCTTAAGTTAAAAAAGTTAACCGGATGTTGACTTATGTGTTAGAGGGCTCGGATGTGAGTTCCGATGGTTCGGATATCTTCGGGATGTGATTTTGGACTTAAGAGCGTGATCGGAATGAGTTTTGGTGTTCCGGGGTAGATTTAGGCTTGAATTGGCAAAATTGGATTTTTTGCATTTTCTGGTTGATAGGTGAGATTCTGATATAGGGGTCGGAATGGAATTCCCAGGGTTGCAGTAGTTCCATTATGTCGTTTGGGATGTGTGTGCAAAATTTCAGGTCATTCGGACGTGGTTTGGTTGGGGTTTTGATCAAAAGCATAACTTAGAAGATTTTGGAATTCTTAGGCTTGAATCCGATGTGAATTTGGTGTTTGATGTTGTTTTGAGCGTTCCGAAGGTTGGAACAAGTTTGAATAATGTTATGGGATATGTTGGCATATTTTGTTGAGGTCCCGGGGGCCTCGGGTGGTCAATCGGACCATTTCTTGTTGTTGTGAATTGCAGAAAAACTGCTGAGTGTTGCAGAGAAATTAGACATTCGCGTTCGCGAAGGGTTAGCTGGTGAAGGCTGGAATTTTAGCCTTCGCATTCATGAAGGGCTAGTTGATTATGCACCGCGTTCGCGAGAAGGGGAGCGCCTTCGCGTAGAGGAAATTGGGCAGCTGAGCTTCAGGATGGTTTATTCATCGCATTCGCGAGAGAGGTAACGCGATCGCGAAGGGTCAAGCTGAGGAGCCATCGCATTTGCGAGTGGCTAGTCACTATCGCGAAGAGGAATTTTTCGTCAAAGATAGTCTGTGCTTCGCGAACGCGAGGTGTTGACCGCATTTGTGAAGAAGGAAATGAGGCTTGGGCAGAATGTTTAAATAGTCGTCTTGTTCGCGATTTTGGGGTTTATTTCCACCATTTTTGAGCGTTTTTGGAGCTTTTTGAAGACGATTGAAGAGGGAATTCAAGGGAAAACACTTGGAGGTAAGATTCATGGACTTAATACTCGATTCTAACGTGAATTTTACCTAACTAATCATGGAATTTAAGCCTAAAATTGAAGAACTATGGCCTCAAATTGGAGACCTGGGATTTGGGATTTGATGGGTCGTTTGTGGATGGATTTTGATGCTTTTGGTATGAATGAACCCGGGGAGTGATAAGGAATCCATTGATGTAATTTTTACCGAAATCCGAGACGTGGGCTAGGGGGTCGGGTTTTGGTAATTTCGGGATTTATGTTGTTAATTGAATATTTTCGCTTGGGCTTCGTTCCCTTAACATACTTGGATGTTGTGGTTCTGATTTTGGATAGATTCGACGCAAGTGGATGCCGATTCGAGGGGTAAAGGCGTCGCGGAGTAGTATTTTCATCCGATTTGAGGTAAGTAACCATTGTAAATCTGGAACCGAGGGTACAAACCCCAGTATTTCAAAATGTTTTGATAAATGAGGTGACGCACATGCTAAGTGACAAGTGATGGGCGTGCACCGGTAGGGCTTGTGACTTGATCCGTCCCGTAGCGACTATTATGCCGCGTATTTGATTTGAAATCTTATAATATTTCGTATTTTAGACATTTAGACTGTATTATGGGTTGTATGCCATGTTTGGGGCCTTGTGCCGACCTGTTGAGATTCTTAAGAGCATTTTTACTGTTTTTCCTCACTCTATTTATTTAAAAGCATATCCTGAGTCATATTTTACCTGTTTAATGTTTAAAACTGGTTTATCATTGTACTTCTTAAAATGTGAGAACTGTTTGGATTGCGTTCCCTGATTCCTACTGTTATGCCCGAGCGGCTGTGAGGTTAATGACTTAAAAGGTTGAGAACCTAATGGTGAGGAAATATATATATATNGCAATATGACGATTGGGCTATAAGAGCCCCTCCGAAGTCTGTACACCCCTTAGTGAGCATAGTCGACTATAAATTATGGATCGGGCTACATGCCGCAGCAGTTACTATAATTATTATTATTATTATTATTATGAGATATTAATGAGTCTGAGTGCTGAGTGTGAGTACTTAGTGACGAGAGTTGAGTCACGAGTGACTGAGAGGCTGCCCGCGAGGCCATATTCTGAGTGATACCTTGCCCGATGGGCCCATTTATGACATTTTCACTATTTTCACTATTCTTATAAAATACGCCTCTGTTGAAAAGTTGCTAAGTATATGATTTCAAATATTCCAATTGAAACTGAAGATTTTATGACGAAACTGGTCTTTAAACTGTGTAGTTTGATTTGTTGTTTTGTTATTTACTCCTTTATATGATTTTTAACTACTCGTCACTACTTTTAGACCTTATTTACTTTAGTTACTTATTGAGTTGGTGTACTCACGTTACTCCCTGCATGTTGTGTGCAGATCCAAGTGCCCGGGCGGTGGAGTGAGGGTCCTTAGCATTTTCAGAGGTTGTCGGAGATTGCAAGGTCTTTGCATGGCGTCCGCAACCCTGCTTTCCTCCTTCCTACCTTGTTCGTTTCTGCATTTTTAGTCTTATGATGTATTAGTCAGTCAGTTGTGTATTTAGAGGCTCTAGACTCGTGACACCAGATGTTTGGGCTGTGTTGTCTTATGTTTTATTAATTTCCGCACATTTTTAGTTGTTTTAATCACTTCTTATAAAAGTTGATATTTAAACCCGTGTTAGAAAAATGATTTTTATAAAAGGAATTTGTTGTGGTTATATGGTTAGGTTGGCTTGCCTAGTAATATGATAGGCGCCATCACGACCGAGTATTTGGGGTCGTGTCAGCAGTCAGCTCTAGTCTTTTGCACGTCCACTCCTTCAGCATTCTTCTTTGTAGTAGCCAGGGGACCATCGGTGATTATGTCCTAGAGTTCATAGTCTTCTCCTATGATGTGGTCTCTCATTCTGTTCTTCCACTAAGAATAGTACTGACCATTAAAGAGTGGGGGCCTAATAATGGATTGACCTTCATAGTTTCCAGGTCGTGTACTCATCTTGATCTGTTCCTAAGGTGTTAGCCTCTTTAAAGGATAACCCGCTCTGATATCAATTGATGTTTTAGACTTCAAGACCACACAAAGAGGGGGTGATTTGTGTGGTACCCAATTTTTGCTTAACTTGATTTATAGAAGGACCTGATTCTTTTATGTGTTCCAACTACTACTATTTGCGAAATAATAAGTAAAGAAAATAAAGAACACGGAGATTTTTACGTGGAAAACACCTGGCTCAAAAGGTGAAAAAATCACGACCTACTACTCGGTAGGATTTTCCCAAACTTCCACTAAAATCACTGAGCCAAAAACTGCATTTACAAAAACTCTTTTGTAAACCTAGGATTAACTCTAATCCCGTTGTGGCACACAGGCTCAACTGTTATGACAACTTCAAATTAACTCTAACTTGAACACTCTAAGTACCTAATACAATTGCTTCTATAACAGCTAAAAGGTACAATGTAAAATCACCTACTACAATTGAACTAGAATAAAAGATAGACACTTGGAACTGGTTCTTCTATTTGGTTCAAGTAGCTTCAGGATTGCACGCTTGAATCGCACATAAATTGCTTGCAAAATTACCTTGCTATTTTGCTCTCAATTCATGTTTAACTTCTGCTTATGTGCATTACCTGTAAAAGAAAACAACACTGATATTTAAGGGGTTAGTAATTAGAGATTGACTGGGATAAAGATGCTACTCCTCTATGGTAGAAGAGTTCTAGTTGATCTCATACTCTAACTCTATCATCTTCCTAAACTGTGTTCTCTTCTTGTAAGGAGTCTTTCTCTCCTTATCCAATATGCAACCTCAGATCGGGAGATATTACTTCTGATAAGTTAGATTTATCTCTTTCACATGCATCTCACATGTTTGGATTGATCACGACTGTGTTTTACAAGATGGACCTGGTCCATGTCTGAGTTCCTTTGTCAGTCTTCAAAACTTTACGTTTACTTGTTGGCACGTTTACTTGGGCCAACAGTTAGAGTAGCTAAGCATATCCCCTAGGCTAACGCTACAAGATGATCACAATTTTAGAGATTGTTTTGAAACCTTTTGCCTTAATTTACATGTTATACATACACATTTCCAACAAAGCATACTGAATAAAGTAGACTACTTTGACATGTAACTCTTCAAAACTGCAGAGCAGATTTAGAGAAGCATCCAATATATATGAACTCAAATTGATAAATACTACATAATGAAATACACCATTATCATAACAAACCAACCAGTCATTAATGTCTAGCTTGCAAGAAAATTACAAAAATAAGAACATCAACGACAACTAGCAGCACGCGACCGACATAAAAGATAGGTCCTTTAGTCATTATAAGCAACAGAAAAGAGACCCAAGCTAACAATGGAAGATATATTGCTGCCCATTGCTCGAGAATCATCACACATAGACAACATACTTTTAACTAGCATGACCAGCATTCTTGAACTTGACATTAAATCCCTCCTAACTGCAAGGAGAAGGAACTCATGATGATGATTCTTGAAGCAGACAATGCAATGTATTAAGTGGGTCAGGGATGTCTTTGACTATGTTTTTAAAGTAAGAAACAGAGATTTGAGTCTTACCGACGACTATTGATGAGTACAGTGAGGCAATCATTCCCCATGCTCTTTTGCTCTTTTTGAATATTTTTCACAGATTTTTCAGCCGAAGTGCTGCAATTATGCAACTCTATTGACTCCAAGGTATAAATTTCCCCAATGTCTTGAGGGATTGTCTTCAGGGATCTGCATTCTTTCAGAACTAGGCATTGCAGTTCTGGAAAGTTAACGCTGCCAGCTTTCCACTGCTTCAGATTTGTCTCATAGATTAGGAGGAACTTAAGTTGATTAAAAATCATTTCATCATTCAGTCTCCATACATCACCATCAAATCCATTGTCTTTAATTTTAAGCACTTGGAGGTTTGGCAACATTACAATATTCGCCATGTCTTCCCATGGTAAATAAGTACTTTCTAAAGTCAACCTCTTCAGAGATGTAGGCAATGCAAACTTACTTTGCGGTGGTCGCTCGTAATATCTTCGGTTGCAGGCGATCTTCAATGTTTCAAGTTTATTTAAACAAGAAAGGCTATTTAGCTCGGAAGTTATATCTCCTTTGGCACCATAAATTTTCAGAGTCTTTAGATTTGGAATATCAGAAAACAACTTCTCAGTACAGCAAGAAATTTTTAGATATGACAGATGCTCAAGATTTTGTAGCTTGAAACTAGACCCTTCCTTACTTGATGGAACACAAAAATCAGAGATCCCTTTTATCTCAACATGCCTCAAAAGTTTCATCTTCCAGATCTCCACTGATAAACCAGAATATTGGCCAAAAATCAAGGTCTGCAGATTATAAAGCTCTGACACTGAACTGTGAATGTCCTCGTGACAGTTGAATATGTGAAGGTATCTGAGATGTACTAATTTTTTTATCACAAGGGGAAAATAATGAAATGTACAGTCAAGGATTGCCAACACTCTTAGAAGTTTGAAGCGCCCCAAAAGAGAATCGTTATTCAATCCATAGAAGAAGTGCAAAGTTCGGGTGTTACTAGATGATGACTCACGTAAATCGTCGTCATCATAAATGCGCGAAGAGTAACTGTAGCGACGAACATGAAACTTGTTCGCTGAAGGATTAGTGGCTACCTGAATTCTAGAGACCTGCAGGAACTTCTCATCATTAGCTACTCTTAGAATCAAGTCCCGCACCAGATCATGGACACCAAATGTTTTACACTCACCATCCCATCTCCTGCTTCTAACCATTAACAGATNTTCCTGCTTCTAACCATTACCAGATTCCTGCTAACAAGATCATTCAAACAATCTCTTCCCACTGCTTCCAAGCTTTTGTGCCCCTTATTCACTAGAAAACCCTCAGAAATCCATAAGTTGATCAAATTCATAATGTTAATCTCCCTATCTTCTGGAAAGACTCCAATGTAAAGGAAACACGGTCTAAGATGATAAGGCAAGTAATTGTAACTCATAGCAAGCACTCCCAGACATATATCTGATTCATTAACAAGAATGTTACTTACACTTTTGGAAACATCTTCCCAACTTTTGCGTGTTCTATCAATTTTAGAGAGATGTCCCGCAACCACTAGAAGGGCTAAAGGTAGTCCTTGGCAATTTTGTGCTACTTGCTTCCCGATTTTCTCTAGTTCAGGAGGACAAACATGTTGATGTACCCCAAACACCTTGTCATGTATTAACTTCCAACTTTCGTGAAAATTCAAGAGGTGCATCTTATAAGGAGTGCAGTTAGGGTCAGCATGCATAGCCACTTCATTAATCCTACTAGTCAAAATAATTCGACTACTATTCTCGTCTTCTGGAAAAGTTCTTGACACTATATCCCAGATGTTGTCACAACTCCAAATATCATCCATGACAAGAAGATACCTCCGACACTTCAACACTTTGTATATCTTATCCATCAATTGATCACTATTAGTCCCTTGTTTTATCGGATCAGCTGAAATACGAGAATGAATATCCAACAATAGATCTCTGATCCGATATTGCTGAGATACTGTCACCCAAACATGGATGTCAAAGTGATGCCTGACTTCAAGATCGTCAAATGCTTTTCTAGCTAGTGTCGTTTTGCCTATCCCTCCCATTCCCAGAATTGGGACAATTTCTCGATTAGACGAGGTCTCTATTAATCTTCTCTTGATTTCCATCAAATCGTCCTCAAGACCCACAACAATGTTTTCTGGATTCAGTATTGCTACACGTCTAGACGATGAAGCTTCTACTTGCAGTTGGTCATTTGTAGGATCAACATAGCCTTGAACTTCATTTTTACCAAAACTACTTCCCATCACATTCCTCTCCAAAACATCAATCTTTTCTACAAGTGGAGACAAGGTTTTGTGTAATGCCTCTTCTTCCATTGTTTTACGAAGGACTTTATTCTTACCAAACCTACATCCCATGACCCCCCTCTTTAGAGCTTCAATCTTTTCTACAAGTGGAGACAAGGTTTTGTGTAATGCCTCTTCTTCCATTGTTTTACGAAGGACTTTATTCTTACCAAACCTACATCCCATGACCCCCCTCTTTAGAGCTTCAATCTTTTCTACAAGTGTTCTCAATGTCTTGGATAACGCCTCTCTTTTCATTGTTTTATAGATCTTTAGTTCGATCACATCTTCTACTTCTTCCACTGCCGTTCTAATTTCTCTGTCTAATTCTTCAATCTCTCCACAATGTTGCCTTCTCTTGCTAGTGTTCTCAAGAAAGTCTTGGAAATTTTTAAGACTAACACGGAAAGTGTCCAGCATTTTTGTTGTTTCATCATCACCACTTACCCAATGTGGCTTTTGCTGCACGAGTTCCTCCAATGTTCGTGCAAGAGAAATCACAGCAACATAAGCCATATCTATTAATTGATTTCCTAGCTAGATCAAAAGAAAACATCAATTTGGAGAATAAGTAAAAGCAAGAGGCAATAAAGAGTTCTAAGCCCATCATCAAATGCTTACCTTGATATATTTAGCTGGAAAGAAACAGCTGAATGCTTCTGCAGATCGATTCTAACAAAACCTGCAAATCAACACTGCAGTGTGTTGCTAAACAGAGAACCTGAGAAACTATAAGATCAGCATATCTCGAAAATAAACAAGAAATAAAACTGAAAGGTGAACTCTATGATTAAGGTAGCTAAACTTGACTTTTTCAAACCGGAGAAAACAAGCTACGGGGAACGTACTGTCTGAAAAGCCAAACAATAGACAACAAATTGAATAATACTCTGTTCAAAGCCATTGATAGGCAATATTAGGACAAACTTTCTCGCAGATCTGAGCCTTGGGGGAGTGAAGTCCGGAAAAGGATATCAAATTAGGGTGTGTTTGGTCCCACGAAACTGTTTTCCGAAAAATATTTTAATTGAGCGGTTTTATCACTTATTTTCTGTTGTTTGGTGAGTGAAATTTTTTTCTAACGTTTGGTTAAAGAATATAAAGTATTTTTATCAAATTAATTTTTTATGCTACTCTCTTCAACCCAAAATTCCCATGTTTCCTGTACTCCTTCTACCCCCTCCCTCCCGTACTCTATTTTTTTCAAGAATTTAATTATTTTTCCAAAATTCATCCGAAACCAGATGAACTAATGTGCTACTTTATTTTTTACACGAGAACAACGTAGAAATTTCAGCTCGATAACTACAAAGAAAATACTTTATTTTATTGAAAAAGAAAGTATTCTTTCTACAATATGAAAAGAAAATACTCAATTTGTTGAAATGATAGAAAATACTTTTTCTATATCATGAAAAGGAAGTACTCGATTTATTGGAAAAAAATACATTTTTTATTCAGGAAAAGAAAAAAATACTTAGTTTATTGAAATGAAAGAAAATATTTTTTTTCTACGTCATAGAAAGAAAGTACTCATTTTGTTGGGAAAAAATACTTTTTCTTTTTCAGGAAAAAAAATATTTAGTTTGTTCAAATGAAAGAAAATACTTTTTTTACATCATGTAAAAAAAGTACTTGTTTTATTGAAATGAAAGAAAATACTTTTTCTATATTATAAAAAAAATACTCATTTTGTTGAAAACAAAAAGTACTATATCTACCACATGAAAAGAAATCACTCTTAATAATAGTTCTATTTAAGGTGGTGGTGGGCGAGGTTGGG